GTTTTTTCTTCTGACGAAAACAACGAGAGGAAACTGAAACTATTTAGTGATACGTTTACGGATAACCACTTCCATCTTTACTGACAAGATTTTCAAAAATCTGCGACGCAAAACTCGCCTTTCTTAAGATTCGCGCTCCCATTGGACACGGCTCTGGCCCTAATGAGCAGATCTGATCACCGCATGATTCACACCTAGATGTGCAGTGGTCCCGCTCACCAATCTTACGCCGCGCCCCCGCGCGCACGCCAATCCCCACCTGGCGTGCGGTTTGGCGTGCGTTTATCAAGCCCCGACCAATGGACATCTAGGTGTGAATCATGCATTGATCGGATCTTCTCATTAGGGCCAGAGCCGTGTCCAATTGGTGGGCAAATCTTAAGAAAGGCGAGTTTTGCACCCCAGACTTTTGAAAATTTGGCAGTCAAGAAGGAAGTGGTTATCCGTAAACGTATCACTAAATAGTTTAGTTTCCTCTCCTTTGTTTTTGTCTGATGAAAAAACTAGTGGTGGATACTCTTCTAGTTGACCCTGTTATCCTCACTTGATGCAGCTTTGAATTTGCTCATTTTGTATTATTTGTTTTGCCTAACTCTTATACTCCTCCTCGTTGTCCAAATAAAGTTTTAAAAAACGCCAAGAGGACTTTATGACCTTGGAGGCTTATAATAATTATCTTGAAGAAGTAGAGGATATCAGTTGAGTCACTAAATTTTTTTTTGGTCAAGGCATCGACATGTTTCTATCTGGGGTGGACAAAAAAAGCTTTTAATTTGATTAATGGAGTAGATGTAGCTGAGACAGAAGCAAAGATCAAGTGATTTCAAATCGAGAATCAGGAACTGATAGCCCAGAATGCAGTCCATGAGGCCTGGCAAGCTGAGCTGAGCAAACACCAAGAAGAAGCAATCAAGAAGGAGCGAGAAGAGCGCAAGGCTGAATTATTGAGACTCAAAGAAGAAGTGCGACGCAAAGAAGAGGAAATCAAACGGGCGACAATCTGTAGTTTGGTAAGCTTTCACTCCACACTATCAGTCACACAGAAACTTGCATTTATTGATGAGCACATTGGGGGACCTTTTTACAGGAAACTTCGAACGTGAGTGCTGAGAAGCTTGTAGCCAGACAATGGGTGGTTGCACAGAAGAGAGAGACTGGGCGGGCATTAGCCTCAGAGCTAGCGACAAAGACGACAGTGGCGATGCCATCATTAGGTGGATTGATTGACCCGAGCTCAATGGATAATGAGGAGACAAACCGGCCGGATATCAAGGGTGAATTAGGACAATGGGACAACTATTCATCGATGTTTGATCTCAAGAGGCTCGACGCAAACCTCCAACCAGGCTATATCAACCACAAATCCATGAGACTCGTCATGAACGACCATGCCCTTGCCTTGGTCGGTGGCTTTGAGATCGAGTCCGTCTGGGAACATCAGCTCCGGAGCGCTATGATGGGCCTTTTCGTCCCCCCACCCGAGGCTGGTGCCATCAACCAAACTACCTCAGATGATCTTTCTCTCCACAACTTGACTGGCTGAAAAGGACTCTCAATAAACTTCTCTCTTGTTCTCTTTGGTCTACTTTTGTAACCCTCACACTCCTTTGCTTAGAACTTACCTTGCCGGCTGGAAGGCAACCTTTCCAGCCGGCGAGGATGTGCCTTGCCGGCCATTTAGAGGGCGGGTATCTGAGGATATCCGCTTGGATACCCGCTAAGGCGGGGGGATATCCGCCAGCGGATGCGGATGCGGGTGTGGATGCCGCTTTCCCCGGAAAAAGCAACCAGATATCCGCATCCGCTGTGGAACTGCTCAGCTAATGAGTGAAGAGCTTTGAGGGGATAAATATTGATAAAACTATAAAATAGTAATAATAATAAATGGGTGTTGGTGAGACTGCCCTCCTTGTCTAGCTTGTGAGAGAGTTACACTAAGAAAAATAATAGTGTGGTAGATTTCTAAAATTTATCTTAGTGAAGATACTACCTGTTGAGGATGTTGAGTTGTTTATAAGGGTGGATGGAATGGATGGTCAAGAGCTTCTGGAGTTAGGAGTTATCTGAGGGTTTCTGGTTTATTCTGGTTTAATCTATTCTCTCTGGGTTCTCTGGTTCAATTCTGGGTCTTTAATAAAGTGAGTCTTTATTTCTTCAATATCTTCTGTTGAGAGCTGGAGAAGAGTTAAATAATTTCCTTATTATTTAACAGGTTTCAATAAAGGGATGAGGTGTAAGGGTTTAATAAATTCTCTTATTACTATTCTGAATCTGTAATTTAAGGGTTGATGAATGCTAAGTAATATCTCTAATTACTATTCCTATGCAGACATGTAAGGGGGTTGATGAATGCTAAATAAGATCTCTACTTATTTCTCTGATGCAGACATGGGGAGGAAGGAAGGAAAACATGAGCCAGGAGGGCCTCTATTTATAGACAAAATATTTGGTGGGGATGGTAAACAGCTTCACTGATGAGAATGCTTGGTCAGACTGGGTAATGAACTCATACTGCTAATTTAATGATGTCATTATGATGTCATGCTATGAATTCAATGATCTACAGCTGTGAAATTAATGATGTGCAGCTGTGGAATTTAATGAAGTGCTGTTGTGAAATCAATGATGTCATCTGTGTGATTACTGATCTTTATGTTGTGAAATAATGATTTGTAGCAGTGTAATTAATAAGTGGCAGTGTAATTAATAAGTGGCAGTGTAATTAATTAGATGGCAGTGTAATTAATTATTAATGATCTGCTTAACTAACTAATAAGATCTGCTGAATGATTTAATGATTTAATATTGTATTATTCTATTCCTTCTGAATGGTTTTCAGCTTTATAATTATTATATTATTTCTAATTCCTTCTTGACCAATCTTGTTATGTTGTGTTGTTTGAGATTACTTAATAAGATCTGTTTTGTAATTATATATATATACTTTTTAATCTTCCTTGTATGTTTTATTCCTTTAGTCTGTGTAGTGTAAATATAGATAAAATAGAATATCAAGAAAATTAACTATGATTTGAGAATAAAAGGCTTTATCATGACTATTTGATATTATTACCTGATTTCTTGAGTTTATATTTACTATTTTAGTCTTTTAAACATGTCTTTTAAGGTTTTATGGGTTTGATTGGTCTTACCACACCGCGCGGATATCCGGATGCAAAGTGACCATCTCTAACTTGCACAGAATTATCACACCTGTCACCTCAAAAATAATCTCAATTCAATTCACCAATCTACATCCCAAACACCCTTTAGAAATCATCTTGTTATACTTCATAAGGCAAAAAACATGATGCTTTCTTATCAATCAGTATTGATTTCCGTCATCAGTTTGATACTGACCTCCACTGTGAATGCAGGATGTGCTCCATGGCCGGCAAACCAAGATCATTGTAATGGGTGCGTTTTTGACATATTCTCCTCAACTTTTCATCATCGCTAGTGATTCTCATTCAACTATTCTTCGGCCTAAAACTCTTCTCAGAGCGATTGACAAGATTATATTTCAGGATGGAAAGCTTCCAATGATTGAAACCAAAGTGGCAGAAATATTGGATACTTGTAGTGTGAGTGCCACATCTCAGTTTTTTTTTTGGTTCTACCAATCTGGACAATTTCAGAAAATAGTGACAGGACATACTCTCAAACCTTTGCTGATTAATTTCCACTTCTCCCAGCAGCTAATCGTCCGTAATTTACACCAACAGATTGTGTGAGTGGCTATGAGTACATATGGATTGATACATTAAATCAGTTTTGATTGCCTGATTCCAACTTCTCCACATTGATTACAAAATCTTGACCTTGTTGACATGTTTAGTACAAAAGACCTCATCAAAAGTGGTTTTGCTGAGCTTTTCAAGCAATGTCATGGCAAGGCACGCAGGCCTTTTTCCTTGGGAGGGTTGAATTGGGTTGAACTCTGATGTGTTGTGAGCCTGGGTCTCAATAGTGACTGCAGGACACAAGGTTTGGGGGGCACTTTCATATGTATTTCTCAAGAGAAAGGAAATACAATTAAAAGTAGAGGAGAGGGAAGAGGAGAAAGAAAAAGACAGGAATAATCATTTTGTTATCTATTTGTTTTGTGATGATTACTTAGATTCTGACAGTCTTACGTTCATCTGAGGGTAGCTGTTATAAGCGGAGCTAACTCTATGCCTCCAAATCAAAGGAAACTGAAATGGGTTATTGACACTGATAAATCAGGTCAACCACAATTTTTTAGATCAGAGATGATCAAGGTTCTTTAAAGGGAAACCTATGCAGTTTTCAGTTATACCAGCGGTGGGCCGCTACGCTACGCTACGCTTTTGGCCCAAAAAGCGTAGCGTAGCGGCGCTTTTTTTTCATCCAAAAGCGGTAGTGTTAGCGTTTTTGTAGCGGTTTTTTGCTACGCTACGCTGCGCTACAGCGCTTTTAGCGGAAAAAGCGGCCAAAAACCGCTAAAAGGCGCTGTAGCGCAGCGTAGTGGGCCCTTTTTTGCGGCCCACACGCGTAGCGTTAGCGGTGTCGTGGCGGAATCCCGCTACGCTACGCTAAAGTTGCGTGGAATTCCGCTACGTTACGCTGCGCTAACCGCTACGGTTAGCGTAGCTGGCCCAGCGTTGGTTATACTACCAAGCAAGAATGAGATGAATCTTTAAAGCTAAGGTTTGCTTTGGTTGATCGGGGCTTTGGTTAAGAGATGAAAGAGAAAAGGGTTGAGAGTGACAGAGAAAGAAACAAGCAGAAAGATGCTAGCTAGACTTAAAAGAAGTAACTTACTGATGGCACCAATGACACTGAGTAGTGGGAAAGGCAGGAAAAGTAAGGTTCTTCTGGTTGAAAAGTGTAGGCTTGATCTGGTACTGGTTGTTGTGGTTCTGGGTGTGTCTGGAGTCTGAAAATCCTCTGGAAGCGGAATCAACAAGCTCAGAGATGATTTTCAAAGTTGGATTACGTAATCTGGCATGTACATGTGGTAGAGGGAGCTGAAACCTAAAGGCTGGAGTAATTCTTGAAGTACTGTGGATTATTACAAAGTCAACAAAGGAATGGAGTTGAGTAAAAGTGATCAGTGGTGAATAGGGTTAATTTTACACCAGGATTCCATTTCTGTAGTCAAAAAGGTTAAAAGTCTTAAGAAAAAAAAGATAAGATAATATTTAGAATAGAAATGGGCAATTTTGACAGTCTTTTGGCCAGCTTGGCTGGCTCTAAGGCTGACATGTGTTACTGACAACAAGTCACTCTTATGAATACACTAACTAAAAAATTTTGTTTGTTGACTTTGATAGGGTGGTTTGGTGCAAGTTCCAAGTAACCAGAAAGTCAGCGTGTTGGTCAAAATACGCGCCCCAGCAGGCACACAATGGGAGGCATGGAACACAGATGCCAAGCTGAACAAGCCGTATTGCTATCAGCCTAAAGGAGAGCCAGAAGTGAAATTCAAGGATGATTGTATTAAGTGTGTGAATTTATTTCTTGAAATTATGTAGCTTTCTTGTTTGCCTTTCCATGTTGATTGTCACACCCCTCCTAACCCCATTAATTACATCCTTCATCTTGGCTTATCAACTTGATCAAGAGCCTACAACCAAATCCCCATCAATTCACACAGGAACTTGACTCACAGCTATCAAGGCCCCCTCACAAAAACAAGGGTCACATTTGGATCATGCACCATCAGTTAAAAAAGTCACATCAATTCAAACTCTTCCATGTGAGAAAGATATTTGTGTAAAATACTGAGCAGATTGACTTTGATTATAGATATATTTCATCTCTACAAAGGGATCTGCCTTTCAGCTGTAAGTCATTCAAAGTAATCAAAAAAAACTATCATTGTGGGAATTGCTTAGGTACTAAATATGTTTTTTGGGGTGAGCAGGAATAAGAAAGATACTACCCCAATCATCACCAAAATGATCCAACAATGTGATAAAAAGGTGAGAAATTGATTTATCTTGGCTGTTACATGACCATCTGTGCACAATCAATATAACATCCTGACACCACAAATCTGCCCCCCCCCCCTCTCCAAAAGCCCGGTTCAGTGAATTTAAAAGGAACTCAAGGACCAAATGGAAGAGTCTTTGTCCACATAAGTAGTAGAGTCAAAGAATGATTATTTCCATTTTTTAAAGGCATCACTAGTCTATGTTACATGTTTCAATCCTCAGAACCAAAAACTCCAATTTTTTGTCAATTGAATTTGGTGGACAATGTGAGTTTACTCAGACATTTTTAAGCTGGTTTGTATATGGAATTTACAAATGCACACTACATTCCAAAAGATTTCCTGGAAAAGGTGTAGCTACATTCAAGACTGCTTGAAATTTCAAGTGTTGAACCAAATCTGCAGCTGGGGCTAGCCCATGTAACCACAAATCCCTCACCTGCAGTATGATGAGTTGGCATTGGCAGTTGCTAGGTTTGGGTTTGCTGCAGAACAGATGTCAAAGATATCTCAACAGAATCCCTCCACATAAGCAGTGGAGACATAGAATTTGATTACTTTCAAACCAGTTGTTAAACCTTTAG